TTAAAAAAAAAAAAAAAAAAACATGCTGAGAACTCAGGAAATAACTTGTTTTGATTTCTGCTTTTTTGGTTGCAATTTAAATTAAATTCCACATTTCCTATTAAAATTATATAAGGTTAAGGATTTGAGGTACAATTCATTTTGCTCCCTATTTGCAGCCATAATATTTGTAATTAAAAGTCATAGCAAGAAAGGCATTCATGTGTCTATCTGAGAACCCAGCCAACTGCCTTACTTAAGAAATCATTGATAACTACACTATAGAGTTAGTGATCTAAACAATTATTCCCAAGGTCTACTTTCTAAGCTCACTTTTAATGAGATTATTGTGTTATTAGAGTCCAGGATATACAGATCCAAATACATTTGTCTGGCTGCTTTTAGGGGATTTACGCTTGAAATTATTAAACTATATATTCTGTCAGAATAGTGCTTCTCGAAAAGTGCTTCCTGGACATATAGCATTAACATCATTTGAGAACGTATTAGAGAAACAAAATTTAGGGCCCAACCCAGATCTTCTGAACAAAACTTTCAGAATAGGGGCCAAAATCTAGGTGATTCTGAATACATGCTAAGTTAGGAGAACCATTGCTCTAAAGTTTAATATTGTTGCGTTCTTGTTGTTGAATGCAATTGAGTAAGTTCTGACTCATAGTGACCCTGTATAGGGTTTCAAGGAGCAGCTGGTGGGTTTGAACTGTAGATGTTGTGGTCTGCAGTCCAGTGCTTATCATACAGAGCCATACCAGTATTGTTGTTGTTGTTGTTGAGTGCCCTTGAGTCAGTTTCAATTCATAGCAACCCTATATAGGGTTTCCAAGGAGCAGTTGGTGAGTTTGAACCACCAGGGATGCAAAATTACTAAAGTGCCCACGTGAGTCCCCAACATACCACTAGCTTCTCCCCACCACTGCATGCATATGCACACATTCTCACTAATAAGCAAGCACTATAATAAAGGCAGAAATCTTGTTTTGGTGCTGTTGGATAAAGCACTGTACTGCAAAGTTGGTTTGGACCACAAGGTTGGCAGTTCAAATTCACCAGCTGCTCTTTGGAAACCATATGCAGGGTCCCTATCAGTTGGAACCGACTCGGCAGCACTTAACAACAACAACAATAATAAAGGCAAGTTCTTGGGAATGAGATATTATAAGATCACTTTTCTGGTTCTTATCCCCCATCCTACATTATGCTATATTTTCCTCCTCTGTGTGATGAATGCCTCACTAAACATTGTTCTTTATTTTATCTCTTCTCTATTCACAATTGTTCACCTTTTACTTTGGCAAAAGAGTTTTATTTGCTGACAGTTTTCTTCTTTTCCTATTCCCTATTCCAGTATCTTCCAGTATTGTCACATTCAAACCACATGTTTAAGAATCCTTCAGAGATTCAGGTGGAAGAGGACAGGCTACAGAACTTGTAAACACTTTTTAGTAGTAAGACAAAAGAAGTCTCATTAAGAATATTGTTTTTGAGAGACTCTGCCTGCAGTGGCAACGACAACTAAATACCTTAACTTCTGAAAATAACCTGTTGACACAAATCTAAATCATGATGGATGCTGAGTATATCTTATGCATCTGGAAAGACCAGTTATGGCCAGCAAAGGTTTTATCCAGATCTGAGAATTCATCAAATGATCAGATAAATAAGGTATTTTCCCTAGAAGTTCAAATACTTTCACTAGATGAAAAAATTAAAGTAGAAAGCACAGAAATAAAGAGCCTAAATAAATCTCAAATTGAAGACATTTATTCCTCACTAGCATCACAGTCAGAGGTCAGTGCTGTACCTAGAGAGGAAACAGCTTATGAAAGATCACTTAAAGTGGCACTGGATATTCTGAATGAGACAACAAATTTTAGTCAAGCAAGCACTTCAGGTGAAGAAGAGATCAATACACTGTCTCAAAATGTACCACAAAATCGATCTGATTCACCTCCTCTGACAAAATATCGGAGGTGCGAAGGGGACTTGGAGGAGAGTCTTGAAGAAAGTGAAAACCCAACAGACTTATTTGTATCTTTGGAGAGTGATGATTCCCTGAATGATGATAAATCTCAGGTACACACCAGTGAAATGGAAACAATACCATCACAAAATTCCAGCTGGTGCCAAAATCTCCCTTCATTTTCAGAAGATGAGGATGAGAAAGAAAGCAAGGAAAAGATTGACATCTCAACAGTTATGTCCTTGTATTCCACAGTCAAAGAGGAGGAAAAGTACGTTAAAGATGAAAAGTTTGTTCCAATTCTGCCATCAGAAATCCTCACTGTGCCCAAGGCTTTGAAAGAGGAGCCAGAGGACACCTACCCAGAGATTCTGGCTACTTCCCCTGAATGCTCTTCTCTCTTAGAGAATATTGAGGATCCTGGAGAGGGTCCCTCAAATCCAGGCTTAGATATCAGCCAGAACCAACCTTCTATAGAACCAGAGATGGGGGCCATGTCATCTCCTGAGCATGATTCAGGTGAACCCCAGTGTTCACTTAGTACCTCTAACCATGTCCTTGATTATTCACACCATCTTATGAGTAATAAAACAAGTCTTCAGAGACTGGACTGTGATGACCTTGACGAAGAATTCCAAGGCAAGTCATTGCATAGCAGTCGTATTGATGCGGCTCTGCTAGATGACAATGAGGAAGATGAAGAACTTCCACGCATGGTTTTTCATTATGAGCCACGTACATTTGAGGCAGGAATGATAGTCTGGTTTAAATATCAAAAATACCCATTTTGGCCAGCAGTGATAAAAAGCATCCGGCGAAAAGAGAGGAAAGCAAGTGTGCTTTTTGTTGAGGTGAGCATGAGTCCTGAAAAGCGAGGTGTTAGAGTGCCCTTTAGAAGGCTAAAGAAATTTGATTGTAAAGAAAAACAAGCACTAGTGGATAAAGCCAGGGAGAATTACAGTGAAAGTATTGACTGGTGCCTATCACTCATTTGTGACTACAGAGTTAGGATTGGCTGTGGTTCTTTTGTGGGCTCTTTTTTTGATTATTATGCTGCAGACATTAGTTATCCGATCAGAAAAACAATGAAACGGGATACCTTGAGGGATATTTTTCCAAAACTGAATAATGAAGACAATGTGGAAACTATGGTTGTGACTTCCCAAACCAAGAAAATGTCCTTCCAAAAAATTCTCCCTGACCGAATGAAGGCTGCTCGTGACCGAGCCAACAAGAACCTAGTCGACTTCATTGTGAATGCAAAGGGAACAGAGAACCATCTTCTGGCCATTTTAAAAGGCACAAAAGGATCCAAGTGGCTGAAATCATTTTTGAATGCCAATAGATTCATGCCCTGTATTGAAACATACTTTGAGGATGAAGCTCAGTTGGATGATGTGGTAAATTATTTACAAGAAATCTACAAACAAATAGATGAAAGAATGTTGACTTTGATAAAAGGTGATAAAATTAAATTTATCCTGGAAGTTCTTCTGCCAGAAGCAATCATTTGTTCAATTTCTGCTGTTGATGGATTAGATTACAAAGAAGCTGAAGCAAAGTATCTAAAGGGACCATCTCTAGGATATAGGGAAAGAGAATTATTTGATGCAAAAATCTTATTTGAAAAGAGAAGAAAACCACCAAAAAATGAATCTCATTAAATCTGAGAGTCTAAACCAAAACAGGGAGTTTTCATGAATACTCATTTTTAAATGTCCAAACCAATTTCTCTAACAAATATATTTTTTTTTTTTTTGAAATGGGAAACTTTGAAGAATGTACTCAGTTTTTGGATATCTTTAGTATCTGTGGGTGTCAATATACCTTCATTTCCTTTTCTTATGCTTCTTCAAAGTCAATTTTATTAATACATTTCAGTAGTTCTACTTTCCTGTACATTTTTAGAATGCATAATTTCTAAATAATTTTTAAGGGAAAATACTATTTTGCTTTACTTTTGTGTCTATGCTATATAGTTGAATCAGTATATCCAGTCATTTTCATATTAAAATGAACTGGTATCAAATATTTAGCAAGATAATCAGAAATAAGCTAAAAGCATTATATATTTTTGCTTAATTTTTATAAACTGTTGGATTTTCTCTTAAGATAGTTGAATTATTTTTCGTGCCATACCTATTTATTTTTTGAAAAATATATATCTCTGAGACATAGAACCAAAGACAGAGACGCTTTGCTATATATTATAACTAATTTACATGCTTTGCTACAAAATAATCTGCAATCCAAATGTAAAGTTAATGAATTATCTGCATGCAGTCCATATGTGGGTGAATGACATCTCAGCAAACAGAACATTATCTGGGAAACCTTAAGCAAGATTGTTCACTCTACATTTTCCTGGAGTTCCATTTATGGGCATGTCTATTCTTTAATGGCTTATTTGCTTTCTTAAAAGAGATGAACTATTAGTGATGTTGACTGGCAGTGATTGGATCTTCTAAATAGTCATCTGCTCCCACTTGGAAGGCCACTACAGTCATTGTATTTACAGTCTGGCTACTCTACAGCATTGAGTTCAGGATGACCTCTTAAGAGCTCATTTAGTGTTGTATACACTATAGGAGCTCTGGTAGCATAGTGGTTACGAATCGGGCTGTGAACCTTAAGGACAGCGGTTCGAAACTACCAGCTGCTCCGCGGGAGAAAGATGAGGCTTTCTACTCCCGTAAAGATTTACAGCCTTGGAAACCCTGTACAGGGTCGCTATGGGTCGGAACCGACTCAATGGCACTTAACAACAACAACAACACCACTATAGGAAAAGCAGTCTTTTTTTCCTCTTCCTGAATATTGTATCTTCAAAAACATAGTAATTTTTCTCAAAACAAGCAAGTTTTATTATCCAGCTTATCCATGTTGCTGTTGCCTAGTACTGTCAAATTAGTTACAACTCATAACAATGCTGTCTAGGGTTTCCAAGGCTATAAATCTTTACAGGAGCAGAAAACCTCATCTTTCATGGTTTGTTCATAGAGTAGCCCCAACAGATTCCAACAATATAAATGCTGATTACTGAATCATTCCAGGATACTACAAACAGGACTCCAAACCAATTCATTCTGGTTCAGTGCCCTGCTGAGAATTTTCATTTGCGTTTCTGCCCCAGATATACTGAATCTAAATCTACATTTTAACAAGATCCCCAGGTGATTCTTAATTTTGTATAAGATCTTGTTTAAAAAGTGGATTCTGATTCATTATATCTGGGGTGGAAATGCAATTTTTCAGCAGGGGATCAAACTCCAATGAACCAGATTAAAGCCCTGATTACAAGGAGTAAGATGGGCCCACCCATCACCCACTGACATCCAGTAAATTCTGACTTGTAGCAACACAGTTGTTGTTGCTGTTCAGTGCCCTTGAGTCAGTTCTGACTCAGTGTAACCCTGTATAGGATTTCCAAGGAGTGGCTAGTGAGTTTGAACTACCGACCTTGTGGTTCAAACTGATCTTGTGGTCCAGTGCTTTATCCCACAGTACCAAACCATAGTGAAAAAGTAGTGCAATAGAACTGCCCATTTGGCTTTCTGAGATTAAATTTTCACAGGAGCAGATAGCCTCATCATTACCAGTGCTCCTTATAAATGGACTAGGTTCTGGAAATCTGGATCTGGGTTGCAGATAAAAGCTTCCATTTGGTTAAATATGGCAATTACATGAATATGGTTAAATATAAATAAGTTATAATGTGAAGCATAGCCTGAAACAAGCCTTTTTGTGAAAATACATTTTATAAAAGATAGTTTATGTTTAAAATTTAATGTGAAAATAAATGCTAAATGCTTAACATAAATCTGACTGCTTTTTGTACTTCTTAGACAATGTTATATGCCACTCATGGACTCTTGTTAAGTGTTCACATGGTCACATGTCTTTAATTTGTAAAAAGTAAAACATTCAGTCTCATAACAATGAAAAATAACCAACATAATCATTGTATCTTTCAGCTAGGACTTTCACTCCATCATAATACAGAATGTAGAAAAAACATAAAATGATGTTCTATATATTTTAGAAAATAGCTCATATAATTTGATTCTAAGTTTATCTTGTTGTAATTGTCACCTTTTAAGTATTCATTATAATGTATCTTGTCTTTCTAAATAAATATTCACCTTCATGCATGATCTTGTATTATTTTAGACAAGGACCTTCCAAATCAAATAAGTGTCTAATCCCACAGAAACTGCTTTGGATCCTGCTTGAAAGAGACCTAAACTCATGGGGCATACTGCCTCTACAAATTCATATGACTTGCTCCAGACCCTGAGAAGTATTTAACCACAGACCATCATCATGCTGTGTGGACCTTATTCTCTGTGAAAACACATTTTAGTTAATCTATAACACTGTATCTCTGATTACATTATATTGATTTTCTCATTAGAACCTTCTCTATCTCTAGGTTTTAATATGTTTATACAACCTCATTCAGTCATTCATTCATGACATCATGAGGTGGAGAGCAATTGAGGTGTGGTTTAAGACTGCTCTGAGGATAAATTACAGGTGCCATAGAAAGAATTTGTAAATTATAGGGGTTAATATTATTTCAAAGATGACTGGGATACACTATTCCATTCTCAAAGTGAGAAATACTTAACAACATTCCTGGGTTGACTGACTAGATTTGAAATCCAGAGTCCCAAATTTTCTAATATTTGTAAGTTGTGGGTATCTTCTGCTTGGTGTGAGGTGAAGGGAGGAACCTGATACCTCCTGGGATATGATATCATAGCATATATTGAAGTGAAGGAGACATGCCTCAGACAATATTCTCTTTGAATCTGGGACCACTGAATGACATAAGGCTAAATATCAGGTCCAGAGTCTTAAGATTTTAGAGTTGCAAGGAAACTGAATGCAAAGCAACCTGTTTAGTTGTAACAGTCTGCTTATATAAAGATTTACAACCTTGAAAATTCTCTGAAGCAATTCTACTCCGTCCGAGAGGGTCACTATGAGTCAGAATTAACTTGATGACAATGAATTTGATTTGGATTTTTATATCAATATATGAATGATTAAAGGAAAAGAATGAACCCCTTACACCTGGCTTGACATTGAATGTGAATCTTGAATTGTTAGTTGCCATCGAGTAGATTCTGTCTCATAGCAACCTAATGCACAACACAACAAAACACTGCCTTATCCTGTTCCATCCTTCAAATTGTCATTTAGCTTGAACCCACAGTGCCAATTTATCTCTTTGGGGAGTCTTCCTCCTTTTCACTGACCTTCTACTTTACGTAGCATGATATTTTTTTCTCTAAGCACTGATCCTTCCTAATAATATGTCCAATATATGAGAGACAGAGTCTCACTATCCCGGCTTCCAAGGAACATTCTGGTTGTACTTCCTCCAACATAGATTTGTTTTTTTTTGTTGGAGCAGTCCATGGTACTTTTAATTTTCTTCTCCAACACCATAACTCAAATGCATTAATTCTTCTATGGTCTTTATTCACTCTCCAACTTTCAAATGCATTATGAAGCTTTTGAAAATACCATGGCTTGGGTCAGGATCATTTTAGTCCTCAAAGTGACATCTTTGTTTATAAAGAGGTCTTGTGCAGCAGATTTGCCTAATGCAATACATCACGATTTCTTGACTGCTGCTTCCATGAGTGCTGATGGTTGGTCTGAGCAAAATGAAGTATTTGACAACTTCAGTCTTTTCTCCATTTATCATGATGTTATGTATTGCTCCAGTGGTGATGATTTTTGTTTTTAGTACATTGAGGTGCAACCCATACCTAAGCTGTGGTCTTTGGTCATTAATAAGTACTTTAAGTCCTCTTTGTTTTCAGCAAGCAAGGTTGTTTCATCTGGATATTGCATGTTGTTAATGAATCTTCTTCCAATCCCTATTCCATACTCTTCTTCCTATAATCCAGTTTCTCAGAGTATTTGCTTAGTATATAGTTTGAATAAGCATGGTGAACAAATATGACCCAGTTACACAACTTTTATAATTTTAAACCATTCAGTGTTCCCTTGTTCTTTTCAAACAATTGCCTCTTTGACTGTGTACAAATTCCTCATGAACACAATTGTGTCCTGAAATACTTATAATCCGCAATGTGGTCCACAGTTTGTGATGATCCACACAGCCAAAGCCTTTGAATTAGCTACAAAGCGTAGGTAAACATCTTTCTGGTATTTTCTGCTCTCAGTCAAGATCCATCTGATGTGATGATATCCCTCATTCTAATTCCTAGTCTGAAACTGGCTTGAACCTCTGGCAGTTCCCTGTCCATGAACTGTTACAGCTGTTTTTGAAATATCTTTAGGATGTGTTATTAATGATACTGTCTGGTGATTTCCACATTCTATTGGGTCACCTCTTTGGAATGGTCATAAGTATGGTTCTCTTCCAATCTGTTGGCCAGGTAGCTGTCTTCCAAATTTCTTAGCATAGATTGAGTGAGTGCCTCCAGTGCTACATCAGTTTATTGAAAGATTTCAATTTTTATTCTATCAGTTCCTAGATCTCTGTTCTTTGTGAGTGCCTTCAGTGCACCTTGGACTTCTTCCTTCAGTACCTTTGGCTCTTGGTCATATTATACCTCTTGAAATGACTAAACATCTACCATTTATTTTTGGTACAGTAACTCTATGTATTCCTTCCATCTTC